CAGACAACCTCTCGTCAATATGCGTTTTCTGCATTGCATAGCTGCAAAAAACGCATAAAAAAGAAAACTAAAGCGGACTGGTTTCCAAATGTGTCTTCATCCGTTTTCTTTTAGTTCTCAATTTGTCTTCCTTTCAAACGGGCCTGTTCAAAATGAGCTAGGAAGGTAACTAACATAATTCTGCTGTGTTTGTTTCCGGAAAATGTTGAATCTAAAGTTTGAGGAATTCTGGCGATGAGTTCTGCTGGATGTAATATCCTGAACAGCAAGCTCGAACGCTTCCAAAATTTGGCTACGAATAGTAGTTGACTGGATGCGTGAGCGCCAATTGCTAATTACATCTGACCATTCGTATGCGTAAACTCGTCCACAAATATCTTCCAGTACTGTGCGTTCCTGTATGATCTTGCCCGTATATCTTGCTAAATGAATCGCGTTTGGGCATCAAAGTACCGATACTTTTATGCATTTCTGCTGTAAGCTGCTGCGGATGAACAACTTTTTGATGAATTACTACGTGTTGTGTTTCATCATGATCTTTTTAACCGATAAAGAGCAGACTCGTGGTGCGGTTTGTCCCAGAGTTTCAGTATTAGCTAATATCGAGAAGTGCGTTGGTAAACTGCGACGTCAACAAAAATTATTGAAATCGCTTGTGCAATCAACAAAAAGGTCGAAATTTCGGGTTTTTTGCGCTCTTCGATCTGAAACTGTGAAACGATGGGGGATTAGAGCTAGACGCTTAATTTCAGGTTTCAGTGTATCTAATGAATTAATTGCCCGAAATTTTTGGTTTTTAAGTCCGGATCTAGACGAAACAGAAAACTGGGATTTCAGGAGAATATTTCTTGCTCATGTACGATTCCGGAAATTTTAGGTTCTGCTTCCATGTACGCCTTAGTCTCACATATAAACACATCGAAGTTTTGGCCGACATTTCGACGACCGCCCCGCATATCAAGCAGTAAAGCGTTTTTAACATTAAACAGTCTCTGGACAGAATTACACAAGACGCATAATCGGATCAGCTACCATGGTTCGCGCTTCTGTTTATTAAATTAATCAAACGGCG